TTACGTTAAATAAATATGCCAACGTTACAGAAGCATTTTTTATTGATTCAGCTTCAAAAATTGTCTGACACGACCTTTCAAATATTAAATGCATTTTCAACTTGTATCTAGAGAAAGAGGAAGTATATTAAAGGTATTTTTTAAAACCCATTATAAGCAAAAAACTAGCTTTACGTATACTTAATACTTAGCGTAACAGCTTAACTTATAATTTGACATTGTCGCGGTCGTTATTGCAACGACCGCGGCGTCTCTATCGACGTCCGCGAGATCGCGACCGACAACCGGTCTGGCCGCCGCCTGCGGCACGGCCGCCGGCCCGGCCAGCGACGGACAACGGATCAGCTTTTGCCTGTCCGTCGTTGCCATCACGTCGCAGCACAATAAGTTATTTTTTGATTTAAGTTTAATTTAATATGATTATTTTACCATTGTCTCTCAATTTCCACTTGAATGCTTTATTTTTTTTTTTCATGTACATTTATTTCAAAACTTGTGATTAATTATATTTTAATAGCTTGTTGGTCTTTCGTTTGAAGTCCACGATAGTTATCTAATTAAATTGAAACAAAAAGATGCAAAATTTGAGGCTGAAAATAATTTTAAAATGATTTGTCAACCTAGTGTTCTAGAAGTATTTTATTATGCATTTTGTTATATAGGCATTTTAACAGGTAAATATTAAACAGGTATTTAAAAACTGATTTTAAGAATTAAATTTATCTAACTGTTTTAAAATATTTTATATTATAGGACCCTATTTTAAGTATTGTACTTATTGGGATTTATTTAATCGTAATTATTGGAGAAAAGCTACTTATATTAATTTATTGATTGAAAAAATACGTATAATTCCAACTTTAATAATTTGTTATTTCTATTAAGTGTAAGTAAATAGATAGTTTAATAACATTCTTTTAGTGTATAATAAAAATGAATAATAAAAAAACAATTGTTTTTAATAAGTGTTATGTAATTATAGTGAATTAAACAAACTTATTTTAGCTAATTCTTATGTTAATTAAATTTAAATAAATATGAACATTATTTTGTCGTTTAATTAAAATTAATTCTAAAAAAGTATTTCACCATCAATTTTAATATTATTTAGAGTGTAGTTTGAAAATATTTGTTAGGTGTGTAAAACTGTTTTTGAGGATAGTATGTCAGAATGTGGCATACTTACTATTTGATCGTAATTTTTTGTAGATTATTTCATTTTTAGAAATAAAATTCTTTTATATTATTACTTTACATACCATGCTTAAATACATACAGCCCATATTAAATTTACAATTGGTAAATGTTAAATGAAACAAATGGAGAGTTATATCAATTTATTCATCAATAAAATACTATGTACATATTCTTATAGTATACGCTATTTTATGTTATACTCATTATCAGTAGTCTTTTTAAGAACACTTTTCAAATTTATTCAGAATGCATATTTAAATACTTGGTGTCATTTGTATTTGAATACTGTCTTTCAAAAGTATTTGATTTTAAATATAAATACTTTAAAAAAATATTCAAAATACTTAGCAAGTACTTTTTTTGTAGTATGTCATAATGTTTGTGCAATTATCACAAATGTATACTTACAGTTATTATTAATAAATTCATTCTTTAACTGTTTCAATAATTTCAGATGTTACATACCTATTACATTGTCAGGTAAAACCAAGAAAGATATGAATTTTAGGTAGTGTGTCATCTGTGTATTTAATGAAATCATAAAAATTCTTAGAAACATTAGAAAATATTATTTTAAGGCCAATTTTTAAAAATGTAATATATGAAACAAAAATATTGTTTGTTAAAATACTAATGGTAAAAATAAAAAAGTATTTAGTATTGTGGAATAAAATATAAAGAAAAATATTTAAACTTATTATCAGTCTTGTTACATATTCGAATACAGTGTACTCTCATTTATCTGCGGAATAGGGTGGCTGATTAAATCCACTGATAATCCTTAAAACATTCGAGAATCTAGTATTAAAGGAACATAACATAATATGTACAATGTACATAGGTACATATGTATTAATATTAAACAAGCTTATTATATTTTATGTCGTTTTCGAGTATTGGGCAATCACAAATTATCACTTCATTAAACCCATAATGATTTATAATGTACATACATTTATATGTATGTATATTTTTTTGTATACATAAGGTATGTAGATGATTCCGCGGACGACGGCGGATAATCGAGAATCCACTGTACTTCTTATAAGTATTCTTATATAAGATGTTCATCATACAGACATATTTATATTTATTACACTTGGTAATTTTTAATTGTAAATAATAAAGTATTATAAAAAATATAAGCCACCAAATGAAAAAAATTCATTCCTAGAGTTTACTATCATAAATTGGTGGACAGTGCAACATTATAAGACATATTATTTACCTTTTTTCTTACAACTAATTTTATTTTACTTGAATACTCTAAATAGTATTACCATTAATGATAGTTTCACTATAATATATATATCTTTAATACCTATGTATTTCTACTTAATATTAATTTGAAATTTCTCGGAGTTAGTCATCTACTCTTAGTGGTACAATATATACATATTAAGAATTAAGAATAGCAATTTATTTAATAGTAAATGGTTAACTTACTATAGTAAACTAATTACAATACAAATTAAATATTTCAATTCACTTTTCAGTTAAGTACAAATTAATTGTAATCATGTTTAAATTTAAAATTTTTAGGAATTCAACAATGACTCTTTTTATACATCTACATCATTATCATACAGATTGTGGTATATGTACCGTGGTCCAACTCGAAATTTCGAATCATTAGAAACTAAGTATGTTTTTCTTTTTAAACAAATATGTGTGAGTGGGGACATTTATTAATTTTTGTGTTTCGGTATACATTTCTTATGAGAAACCTGGTATTAAATGTTCTAGCCTTAGGACCTCAGTTAAAGAAATTGAACATGTTTAATGTTTATATCTACAAAATAATTTTTGTGATTTTGTTGAATTTTGAACTTCAAACACATTAAAAAATTGTGTTTTGTTCAACTTTGTATTTTAATTCAAGTAATACCAACTTATGAGAAACATTGTATTAAATGTTAAGCTTATTTTCTGGGCTATATATTTCTTTTTGATATTTATAGAAAAAAAACAATATAAATAGAAAATTTAAAATGTCTAAAATAACTCAAAAAAATTCACTCTTAAAAATGATATAATTTAAAGAAAATGCTTTTATAAACATTTGGTAAAAATTTCAATTATTTGCAGTTAGAAGTAATGTTTTTTGAATTACAACCAAATTAGAAAATTTATTTGGTCAAAAACTGGGTTTGACGTAAGTTATACTTGTATGATACCTATTATTTCCTACCTAGTTATTATGGTTAAGAATAAGATACCTAATTAAAATTGTTATCTATTTGTCAACAACTTACCTATCATCACGTAAAATTGTAAATGTTAGCATACAAATATATTTGTTTCATTTCAAAAGCATTATTATTTTGTTCAACGTTTGGATCAGATATCAGTATCCCTCACCACTATATACATAGTAAGGATTATGAAATAATAAATAATACATTTTTTTGGGGGGGGTATAACAGAACATAAATATCATCATTACGAAAAAGGCTCTTTACAGAGCCAATAATATTTAGTTATATTTAGTTATTATAATTATTATTTACGACTGCCAATCGCAGCGTAGGACGAGTACAACCAATCACAAGACAGAACGAGAGTAAAACACCACATTTTGGACTTAGAAAGGAATTACAAGTACTTCCGTACACCAAATTAACATCAAAAGTACATCAACGGATAGGGGAAATCAAGACAAAGACAACAATACCTTCCCCTAACAAGTGTTAACAGAAAATAATTTCAGTTGTATTTTATTCACCTTCGTGTTCACTAGTCTAGTAACAATGCCGTCTTCATCGTCAGCAATCGTAGACATTCAATGCGTTCTTGGAGCAAATAATACATATTTTACTAAAGAAATGTCTATAGTCGACACTGAAACATGGGCAACTCAACACTGGATTTTTAAAAATTCAAAATCAATTCAGAACAATAAGAGTCGAAGAACAAATAAATGGTTGGAACGTAACTATCATCAACTATCTATAGAATATGACGATGTAGAGTATGAAGAACTAAGCAGAATATTGAACTCATTAAAGTTCACTTGCATTTATGTCAAAGGTGAACAGAAGAAGCAACTTATTATAGAATTTATACCTCATGTTGCACTAATCAACATCGAAGACCTCGGATGCCCACGCTTGGACCAACTATGTGATGAAGATATTCTACCCTGCTGTATTTTTCATATGGAACTTAATCCTAAACAATGTACATTCTATAAAGTATTTGCTATAAGAAAATGGTTTATAAATAATTCCTAAAAATTTTTATTGTATACAATTTTAGTTAATAAACATAATACCTATTATATTTTAACATTTGTTTTTTTATTTCTATGATAACTATATACATACATTTATATACGTTAACATTTACAAGGTTTTAATTAAATATAAGTAGGGGTCCATCTATCTGAAACAGAAAAACATGATTAATTATAACATTTATATAAGAAAAAATAATAATAAGAAAACATAGTAATTAATCTTACATATCTAACAAATACAATCCTTAATATTTACAAATTATACAATATAAAGGTGAAAAAAAAACTACAAATTATATAATAATCTATCCTAAATATTTAATATTTACAAGTTATTCACAATATATAACAAAAATATATACAAAGTATTAACAATTTTTAAATTTTATTTATTATTAACCATGTGATGAACGAGGCCTCTCATAACCTCTTTTTCCAAATCTGACCATTCTTGTTCTCCATTATCTACCTCAAAATCAATCTCCATCAAGTCTATATTGTCATCTTCCCTATAAAATAAAAATATTATAAGTAAAATAATTCAAAAATATAAAATTGTATTAACTTACTCTATTCTGTAGTGTCCATGGGCTAGTATATGTATTTTGTCCACACGTTTGTCATCGTAGCTGTTGTAAGTTAATTTATTCATATTCTGTGTCACTAGATTATGTTTGTATGATCTCATAGATGTATTCATACTGTATCTTATCAAGTCTGGATCATCTTCCAGACACTTGACATGATCAGCAAGCGACATGTGGTTTTTAACCACATGCTGCCTTACCCCCTTGGCCTTGATCTTTTCACCACCAACTTTGAACTTATCGTCTTTATCTCTCACCGCATCATCTTCTCCTGCATAAATGTTGTACGCGTATGATTTTGCACGTAGTGCACAAAACTCGGTCATTATATGCCCCTTTGTCTCATCTGAGAAGAATCCGGGGACTTTTTTCCTCACAGTCGTATGACATGGATGGTCTACTGGCAAGTCTGCAGTATCCAAGCGGTTTAACAAGATGGGGTTATTCTTCACATCAAAATAAAAATCATCTGTCATAATCTGATATACCAGTGAATCTGTAAATCTGTAATAATGATATTAATTAATATGTATAACATATGAGAATAGTTTTAATATATTTACCCGTATCAGTGTACATTAACTTAATATTATCACCATAATGTTTCTTCATGACGTCATTGTGGTACATTAGCGTTTTGCTTATATCCAAAACCGAAAATCCTATAAAAAATAAATGTGTTAGCAAACAAGACATTAGAAAAACTGATAGTATATTTACCAATATATGTAGGCTTGTCAAATTTGATTTCCTTGTTCTCCAGTGCTACTCCTGTTAATGTCTCCGTGTACTTTATACAGTGTTTAAATGTCGTCCTATTAATGAGTTTCTGCAGCCTCCTCTCACATGACACCAACACCATTTTTATCTGCTTCCTTTTAGATTCCATCATTTTACCTGTATAATTAAATAAAAAAATTTTTAAAAATTTAAAAAAAATTAGAAATAAATGACCAAATACGCTGTTATTCATCAACTTGAAAAAGTCTTTCTCAAAATCGTTTTTAGCCTTTTTACGCAACTCTGTGTTCAAATTGATATATTTGGCAAGCCAATCTGACTGGTCAAACTCTATTACTCTATGTACCTATAAAAAAAAAAATAAATTATAAAATCTATAAAATTAGTGTAAAATAAAATATTTACTTTGTCAACAATCAACCCGTTTTTAATCGCTTGTTGAAGGCTCCCATAGTGAACAATATAATATTTCTCGGGCTCTAATGTTGCCATGAGCTTCCGTAGCTTGGAGCCTTTAGGTATACCGTTTTGTGGTAGAAAAGGCAGGTCGTTGTGTTTGTCATGTAATTCATGCAGATAGGATACATCAACCTCGTATATCCTTCCAATAGGCGAGGTATCGGTTAAATTATTAAGTCCATCGAGAGTTGGCTCAACCCACTTGAATCCACCGTAAGGAATGTACTGCGACATTTCCCAGCCATACAAGTTGTTACCTTTAAAGTTTAAAAAGTTAAAAAAGTTTAGAAAAGTTTTTAAAAAAAAAAATACTTACAATCTTGATAAATAAGCCACGATTTCGACTTCGACTTATGTACCCCGGTGCTTTCTGATTATTCGCCTTCGCATGCCTCATGCTCGCCTGCACCAATCCATCACTAATACCTTTAAAGGAAAAATATACATGATATAATATATACAATACAAAATAATTATGATGTACTAACCTTTCTCAAACATCAGCAACATGTCGTAATCCAACTTTTCCCCTGCATATTTGAGCATGACATCAAAACTTAAGCCAGGGGCAGTGTGATAATGAGCTGCATCCAGATTATATGTCATCATACACAAATCCCTAAAGTTCTCGAATACGTCAGCCAGCAGCAACACATCAATTTTCAAGTACAAATCACTATAGTCGCCCAAAGTCTTACAATCGAAGTGGTCCCAGACCTATAACATACAAAAATGTTAATATATAAATATTAAATACACGAATAACTATGTAACTATATTACCTCCTTTGCATGCGTGTATTCAGACTCCTTTATCTCTGACTCGGCCAACGTACTATAAAAGTCCCTCTTCCTCGGTAATCTCGTCTTCTCCAACTTGCCCCAACTGTCAATGTACTCGTAAAGGTGTACCCCCTTATGAGTTACAAGTAGCATTTCTTCCGTGGCAAAATGTTTAGCTGTCTCACGGAAGTTTTTAAATATTGGTGTAATCATGTTAGCAGTTAATTTCACTAAGCTTGTCGCCATAAACCTAAACATATCAATAAACCGAACTGTAAATTTATTACTCACATACTTTGAAAAAGATATGAATTTTCTTCACTGTTCGGTATAACGGTAATAGAGTTTGAGTCGAAACGAAGTTGGGAAATTATATAGTGGGAATCATAGTTTGACAGATTATGAAAAAATACCGGGACAAATGTAGGCTGCTTTAACGCCAAGTTACACTAAAGCACAGGGTTTGCCTAAATTTGCCCGATGGATGGTCATGATCTCTAACTTTATCGACCACCACTATATTGCACTTACATAGATTACACACTGTACACTCTTGATGTGTTTTTTCTTGTTCCTTGTTCTCTTTTATAGATTGAGGTAGATCGATACATATCGAGCCGCCTATCGGGGTATATTTATATACAGCCAGCAATAACCCATCGACAGTATGCAGCCTGAAACCGCTACCTCTACCACGATATAAATCCTCCTCAACTAACAACTTAATATACGCTCTCTCCAATATCTCGGTAATATTGCTCTCTGGAAAAATTTTGACCGCCGATGTTTTAAATGCCCTATTCTCCAGTGAATTGAGCACGCTTGGTAGGCTGTAGGTGGCCTCGAGATTCAAATTAAATTTTATAGCACCTTGTTGTACTCGTGTTTTTAATACATTTTTCAACTCGGGCATGAGTGAACGGAGAAACACGGAATAATTTTCGGTACTATTTAAATTTTTGGCGTAGTACCACACTATTGTTCTACTTCCCGATGACGAAATTTCCACAAGCCCAAGGGTCTTCACCATTTCCATCCTAGCTTTTTTAGGCCTAGCAGCCTACACGGTGTTGGCGGTAGAGACACGTTTACCAGAAGCCTCCGTAGTTGTATAAGAATTTTTAAAAATAAAAAAAAACCTCTAGTTAATATTATACCATATAAACCATTAGAAAATACTATTGGGTATTATAAATTTAGTTTACAAAGCCTAAAATAAAAATTCTGTGTACCGTTTATGACTTATAAGAATATTTAAAATAAAAACTAAGAATGGGACTTTTAAGAATATTTAATTCGTAACTATCTAATCTATCGATTAGATAAAGATATAATATTAGCCTTGACTATTAAACTAAAATTAATATAGCGAGAAATAATAAAAAAAACTTAATCATATACTTTTTTGTCATTATATAAAAATATTTTTCCAAAAATTGTATTTTTATAAGCATCTATAATATTAAAACAAATTTTACCTTTCTGCCATTTTCTGTTTAACATTTTTATTTTTATTTATTTGTATTAGCTTTCACTGCTTTCAGTTTAAGACTTATAGCTCCACAATTACATGTGTACATGCGGCAAAAGAAATTTCGATTTGTAAAGATAATAAACAAGATAGATTAATAATATAAACAGATATGTTCAACATTAAACAAACTATATGTAGCGTAATGTATAGAGCACTTATCAACTAGGTAGGTAACAATATTTTGAACAATAAACTAATAAACTATACAGAGTATTGAGAATTGACAACAATAACAATTTTATTATTCAGTTACCTACTACCTAGTAGCTATAGATTACACATATTATATGGATATTATATAGGTACAAGATAATTAAGATAAAAGCAATAGTATTTGATTATTTCATGTTCTCAAAAGTTAAGCAGTGTTCAAAATCCAACAAAAATAGTTATTGCCGATATTGATACCTACAAGACTATATTATTTTATCAGGTAAAATCTGGTAAATTCATGTACATAATTTAAATGCTTATTAATATTTAGTACTAGCCATTCGGTAATTGGAACACTGATTGTGCATGGTGCATGGTGCATGGTGCACCACATCATATTTTTCCTTTTACCTAATAATAATATGTGCCGGACTTTTCACCATGGACTTTTTAACCACAGACATTTTCACCCTCAGACATACCTACTATAGAAGTCTGAGATTTTGATGGATAGGTATTTTTTTTTACCGGGATATATTTATTAGGGCCACATAAACCTAGCGCCTAGATATTGTGTATAAACAATTTTTATTTTTTTGAGTTTTATCGTTGGCACATTTGCTTAACAAATCTGGATCCATTCTTTTTCTTTTTGAAGCCCCACTTTTAAAATTTCGTTTAGACATAATTAATAATTATCATCAAATATATTATTTAATAAATTAAAACACAATTAGCAAAAAGCCACTGTTACAATAGCCAATTGGAAAAGTAGAATAAAAATAATAACACGTCTTGATCAAATTTAAATAATAAAATAGGACATAGAGTGAGAAATAATAACAGGTAAATGATATTATTGTACTTGCTACTTTATAGTTTATACTGTTTATTTGTTGATGTAAGAGAAAATTATATTTCAGACATTCATATTAATACGCATTGTTTAAAAAAATCGAATTTATTACGATACAGAGTCACAGAGATATGTATATAAACGTAGATAGTAGATACGTCATACTTAGCTCTCACTATTCGAAAAATTAATTATTACTATGGTTGTTTATTTTCGTTATTCGAACATCGATTATATTTATTTATATTTACATTTTATACATTAATTAGTTTTAGCACAATAGTACATACAACAAAATACATAGGTATGTATTTATACGGGTATCTACGAGTTTATACTGAGGCCCCTAGGGGCCCTAATGGAGTATACAAATATTACAAATACACAGTAGGTAATACTGTACAGCCTCTCGGGCGCCGGCCAGTATTATAAAATTTACTTTCAAGTTATTATTGTTTCTTTTTTATTTTTTTGGATTTGGGCCTCTGAGTATAATATTAATGGGGGTCTACCGGGAAAATTCCGATCTCTCGATGGGCCTATCCGCCCATGGAAATCTCAAGTCAAAAGTCTGTGGTCTTAGTTTCTTACTTCGGACTTTTTGGTAGACTACCTATTATAAATTATAATGTTAACAATAATAATAGAGTTATGACGAGTGATAACATGCAAGACTGATAATATTATTATTAAACAGTAAATATAATATCAATAATTTATCTACGCATATTGTGGTAGGCTTATACCAGCTAATATTATAGTAGTTTCAAGTTTGTAGCTACATCTGCCTATATAGACAATATAAGAGTATTAGACAATTACAATAGTCAATAGTCAGCAGTTACAAAGTAAGTTGCTGTTATAGACTATAGTAGTTTGTTTTGGCGGCGTTCTGTCGTTGCGGCTGTTGACTGTTGTGCACTGTGCACTGTGCAGTCGTCACTCGTCAGTTGTAGTGTGAGTGTCGTTAAAGATAATAATATGTGGCATGTGCATGACGCATGTGTGATGTGTCATTATTTATATATATGTGGAGCGGAGCGACGTGTGTGTCTTCTTTGAAAAAAAAAATAGTCCGTACCTATTATTCATTTTTTTTTTGCTTCCTCTCCCTGCGACCTTGTACGCTCATATTATGTTGATTGTGGACTGTCGATGGTTATTCATTTCGTCGTAAATTATTCGTGACAAAGGCGTTTGTTTGACCGTCGTAAAAAGAATACATATAAATAATAAAATCAACATTTTTATCAGTCGTATTTTTGCCGATTCGGGAAATATAATAATTATTACTAAGTACTCTTCTTTATTCCTCGAATGTATTGACTGTTGAGTGTTCAGTCACGCATGTGCTCTATTGCGATCAAATGTATTAAATTTACTGCATCACTGTCTGGAAAATATTGTCATGGATTTCAATTACCTATTGGTGTGTGCGGTGTTATTGATTCCGATTAGCAGTGGTGTGTCATTTTATGAAGTTGATGATGTCTTTGAGTTGACTACCAAAGTGTTTGATTTCGTCAGCAAGTCATGGGAGGTTGCTGATAAGGTGGAAGAACGTTTGGGCAGTGAAAATACTCCACTCGTGTGGTTCACAAAAAAAAAAAACACAAGATTTTATCTTACTTTGGACATATCACTCACCTCGTGCAAATGACCCAAAAGGAAACAAACGACATCAGGACTATGACGTTGGTTAGTCTTAAAAGGTTGCAATCTATGTCTGATGCTGTTTTGAATGGAATGCAAATTAATGAACTTGTGGAGTCTGTTAGATAGATTGAAAATGATTTTAGTACTATGGAAGGTGTGTATTACTTATTTACCTATATTATTGCGTGAAATAAGAGTTCTGATCATAATATTTCTGGATACAAATTTAATTGTTCTTACTTAATAAAAAATCACAAGAGTAATGGGAGATGTAGGTTGTTATTTTTTTTTATAACCCCTTTAAGTACCAAATAGAAAGTATTTTATTGGTTTTGGTTCCTTTCCGATTTAATTACTATGGTCTTGACAGTTTACGTTCAATAATAATATTGATCATTATTTTTAAATCAAAATTATGTACAAGGTAATTTTTTACACATACTCACCTCACTTGTATGGTTAAATTATTAAAAATTCTAATATTTTCAAACACTTAGATTTTTCATAAGGATTATTATGATTATTTTGTGGCCATATCAATTTTGATTTTTCAAATGAGAACCTACATCTTTTAGTGTAAATTTTGAATCAGTCATCATACAATTTTTCTGAAAATGTTAACGTCTTATTATAGACATTTTAATGAAAAGTTTCTGAGTTATATTACACAAATACTAAGGATAATTTAGTCTATAGGAATTCCATACTTTATAATTATTGAGCTTGTATCCATTTACAATTTTTTTTAATGGACTATTATCCTAATTATTTAATGAAAAATAACTCAAAAACTTAATTTCAATTACAACATGTCAATATTTTCAGAAAAATAATCTGATTTACGATTTGTATGTACCTAGGTTCTCATTAGAAAAATCAACGTTGATATTGCCACAAGATCCTCTATATGTTGTGAAAAATCTAAAAGTTTGAAAATATCTTTAATTACATTAAAAAATTCTAAAAATTACAGTTTAAAAATATTATTCATTATTTAAACACAAAACTGGAGAGAGCATGTTTAAAACATTGCCTTGTTTATAGGTTCATAATATTTTTCTATTGATAAATTCATATGGAACCTAGGTATACAAAATACAATTTGTGACACTGCTTTATAGGTGTAACTGTAAAATTGCCTTGAAATTGTAAACTTTAAAATAATACAAACAATTATTATCAGGTAGGTAAATAGTAATTCAAATTGTTTAAATATTACTCCAGATCTAATTTATTGGATTTCAATAATTTTGTTAAGATTTGTATGTTTTGTATTGATGCATATAAAATATATGCAAATTACAATACTATCCTCTATTGGGTAGTCTATTGTACTATATGTTAAAGCTTTATAAATATTTATTGTTTTCCCGTGTTTTATAATTGCTATGGCAACCACAAAATACTTAAATAATAATTAAAAAAACAAAATAAAAGAGAAGAATATTGAAAAGAACTCTTAGTAAAGTATCAACTATAATATAATCTACAAAATGTTTATGGGTTCTGATAAATTATTATTTCTAAATTACTTATTACAATAACAAGGTTTGCTTGTACGAGATTTAAATAAGTGTTGTTTTATCCTGTTTATCTATAACTTGATATGTAGATACACTTCTCATTTATTTATTGTACAAATTATATCTGTATAGCTTTTAATAGCAATGATGTTATTTTTTTAATACTAAATTTAAAAACAATTTATTAGGTACATTTAAAAATGTAATTCAGGTTTAGCCCTCTTCAGTTTACTGTGTTTTTATATTATGTTTATTTAGAGTATAAATATGAAGAAAAAGATTAGAACTAAAAAAATGTAAATCCTGCATATACATCTTATACATTAGAGAAATTTGCTGATGCAATGTTGACATATTCTGCTGGATCTCTTCATAAGCAGTTGGCAAAAATTCACTCTTTCATTGTTCCGGAATGGGAGGGATTCAAATTTCATACACATGGCGGTAATTTCAATATTTTAAGACATACTATGGTAAGTAATGATTCAATTTGTTAACTAATTTTTAACAAGATTAGCTTTAATTGTACCTACCTGTAGAGACACCAAAGTCCATGTTTGTTAACTTTATTATGAGCACGTGTATTATGATTATGAGTACCTCTATGTGTATTAGGCAGTAAGCTACCCTTATATTAAATAATTAAGATATAGAGGCCACAAAGTTTTGAAACTGTCCAACCACATTTTCAAAACTTTGGTGCTACAGCCTACTGATACATAATTTATCTATAATTCTTATTTATTACCATTGTGTGATTTATAAAAATTTATAGTATACTTTATTTTTATAGAATTATTTTGAAAAAATAAATATTTATAACCTTTGTAAATGGATTAAAAAACAACATTAAACTTGATACAATATTGAATACATATTTTTTTTATATAAAATTGGTAGTTTGTGTTAGGACATTATGGTTAATAAATACAGTAGTTTTGTAGTACATTATTTATGTGGGTTTTAAAAATGTACATTGCTAAAGGAAGTATGAAAATTATTTTCTAGTGGAATAGTTATAAGGTAACCCAACTGAATAGTTGGTTAATAATATTGTTATTGCTATAGTAAATATTTAAATTGGCTATGAAATATGAATTATGATTACCCAGATATTATTTATTTTGTAATACCTACATTAATACGTTGTAAGTTTATCAGTGAAATAATTAATTTTTATTGAAATTCATTATTTTATAATATAAAAATGTATAATGCTGTTTACACCGGTGTACTGTATTAGTATACAATTATGATTTGTAGATTATAACAAAATCTAATTACAGCATAATTTGCCATTAGTCATTACTCATTACCATCGCCCTTCACTGATATCTGGATTTATGATATTCGTTTATAATTTTAGAAATTACAAAAACTAAATTACAATCACATCCTACTATTGACCAGAAGTTTTTTTAATTAAAATCTTACATTTACTTTTATTATCATAATAATATGTTTGTTAGCTTAAATTACATTAGCGAATTTACTCGCTGCTTGTCAGCGAACCATGTCGTGAGTGTTTATTCTGAATAGCGACTAGTCCGATTACACTTGATGTATTATTATTATGACTTCCTTTTGTATAAAACTTGATTGCTCGGTCAGTTGCGATGACCTGCTACTGACTAATTACTAGACACCACAAAATATGACATGTAGTAGTTAATGCTAGTCGCTGGGCTTTAGTTGTTAGCTCATAAAGTGATTTTTCTGGTCATGTCGATAACACAACTCGATATCTCTTTCTAGAGAGTATATAAGAGCCAGAAAGTAACGACAAAAGTAGAATTGTCATGAACTTAATTCGCATGCGAGCAGCGAGTGTTCAGCGTTCAACACTCGACGACTTGGCCGATTGCATTGCGGTACTGAGATTTATCAGCAGCGATGCAGTGTGAATGTGATGAGACGCGAGTACGAGTATATTTTCCCTATGTGATTCACACTTAATACGAATTAAAGGGCTTAAGGCTTTAAATATTAGTTATGATCAATTTAATAAATATAAGTAAAGACAATACCTGATAATTCAACAACTCCTTCCGCCGTTCATTCTCCTAGGTGACTTCAACAGTCATAACCAAATATGGGGCTGCATTACTACAAACACAAGAGGGAAAATAATCGAATCGGTCATAGATTCTGAAAACATAATTACTCTGAACAACGGTAAACCCACTCATTTTGGAACAGCATCCGGTACACAATCAGCTCTTGACGTAACATTCACAATACCTTCTTTTGCCCCTCACCTTACATGGGATACCTTTTCTCGTGCATATGGAAGCGACCACTTGCCCATAATCACGAAATTAACGTACAGAAATACAGAAGACATTCAAGTAGGCAAACCAAAATGGAAACTAAACACTGCTGATTGGAATCTATTCACATCCCTCTTAGAACAAAAGATAAATTCAACTGAACTTGAAAAACCAAAAATAAATAATTTAAATGAAGATACACAACATTTCACAAATGTTATACTTGAAATAGCGAACCTAACAATAGGACAATCTATATTCTCAGGAAAAAAGACTCCAGTTCCATAGTGGAACTCTCAATGTAATGAATCTATAAAATCAAAGAAGACTGCCTTCAACAAATTTAAACTCACAAAATCCTAAGCTGATTTCATAGAATCAACCGACCGATGAATTCAACAAGGTAATGTTTAGTATCAAAAATGCTCAAGAAGAGACTTTATCACATGGTAAATCTCTTCTCTCGTCCCAGAATAAAGAATTCGGTAAGTTAAAATCGAGCGTTGACCAGTTATTTTCTGTAATTAGTGAATTGCGGTTTGAAAACAAACTTCTTCGTGAAGATCTAGCTTCTCTAAAAAATCGTGCTACTAATCTTGAATCACATCATTCAATCAATTAAACCACATTAGATAGACTGTGATACTATGCCTCAACTCTTGCATGAGCTAACTGAACGGGGCTAATGTTCATATAGTCTTATTGTACACGGACTTCCTGAATCTACGGCTTCTTTAGCAAATACCAGAATAGCTGATGATTTAAAAAGGCTATCGGATACTGCCCGACTATTAACGTTATCTCTCCCCCCAGAGGTTAAATTATTTAGGCTTGGTGTTGGAGGAAGCATTAAAGTGAGGCCGTTAAAAGTCATTTTTCCTTCTAAAGAGTTTGCTTCTACTTTTATTAATGAGTTCATTGTTTATAAGCGTAATGCTAGATCTCATTCTATTCCTATTGCTGTTGTACGTGATCGTACTCTATTGGAAAGAAAACATATACGTCGTGTTTATACTGAACTTGATGAACGTAAAAAGAATGGTGAATCCAATATTATGGTCAAATACAGGAATGGGATACCTTCTATTGCTCCAGTTACTAATAGATCTGTTTCCAAGACTAATACTACCTCATCTGTTGTCACGAAAAGTAACTGACTAGTCGAATTTCCATTTATTTCAACTGACTGCCAACACTCATGTCTTAACGTCGACCTCTTATGCTACATGTGTCGCCAAGCTTCTTCCACTATTGATTACTGTTTTGAATTTATTAATAAGCATAAACATAATAAATGTGTTGCAAATATTCCTCCTGTTAATACTCAATCTACTCTTACTGGTTACTACCAAAATTGCCGTGGTCTACGAACCAAATTATCAACCCTTAAATGTAATGTAGCCAGTAATAATTTTGTATTTATAATCTTAACTGAAACTTGGCTTAATCCGGATATTTATGATCCTGAATTAGGTTTTGATAATTATATTATTTATAGATGTGACAAAAATAGCTTAACCAGTTCTTGTTCAAGATTTGGTGAAGTACTTATTGCAATACACATTGATTTCCCCTCAAAAATTATTCCTATTAGCTGTAACAATATTGAAGACCTGTTTATTAGCTTTAGTATTAACAATGAACTTTTTATAGTTGTTGGTTTTTATTTTCCTCCCAATTCTCCTGATATATCCTATGCAAATTATACTGGTACAGTTGAAGAGTTGGTTAACTCGTTCATAAGCGTGCGCAGACCTTATTGGCAGGGGGGGCAAATTTTTTTCACTATCATGTCAAAATATTTTTTAGGAGAAGATATAAATAGGGTTACTTCATTAATATAAGTTATAACATGTATTCATCAATATCATCTGTATTACGTAATGTATTATATGTATTACATGTTTATGTACAAATATATGTTAATATTATAAAAACAAAATGTTCTAATAACTATAAAATACAGTTGTTGAGTTGTATGATTATTAAGAATTTAAATTTTATAGCACCATTCTTCTGTCGGAGGGAGTTAATATTTTAAATTGTTGAATCACATCATCAACATTTATATTATATGCCAATTTTTGTTCAATGAACATTGTTAATAGTCCATCTAGTCTCTCTTGTTGCATTGTACTACGTAACTTTGTTTTAACTAAACTTAATTTTGAAAATGTTCGTTCACATGAACAACTGGTAACTGGAATAGTAACAAAAGTTTTTAAAGTTTTGAATATATTATTAAAAATAGTTTCTCTTCCACTGCCAATTTCTGTTAGCCAGCTTATCCATGTGTCACATTTTTTTTTATCACTTTTAGGTAGATTGTTTGTGTGTTTAAGTAGATTCACTTCACTTTTTAACACTTCAGCTTCCAGGTTAAAAGTTTTTGTTAATATGGTGATATCATTATCATCAACATTCAATTCTAATAAATTGCCAACACTTTTTATCATATCCAAAGTTTCTTGGCTAAACCTAATATTAATACCATTAATCATTTCATCTAATGTTACGTTATAAACTGTAATCCTCATTTCTTCTGCCTTAGTATCAATGAAATGTTGTGTATTAGAATAAATATCAACTTTTTTTGAAACTTTCCTTTTCTTTACCAATGGAATCACAATTTCATTGACTTCGCATACTTTTTCAACTTTTTTATAAATATTATTAAAAACAGATTCAGAATTTCTCATCGTTTCAAGAGACTTCTTTAATGACTCAACTAGTTCTATTGCAGTTAGTAAATTAATATCTGATGTTTGTAAAAATGCACTAACTTTTAATATAGAACATAGTATAGCATTTCTAATGCAAATACAAATTGTTATATTTTTACAAAATTAGAAAAATAGTAAAACATAATAAAAAAAAGAAAAGATTTCCATAAAGCAATCAAGCAAAAGCATACAATAACTAAACTACATCACAAATTAATTTAAAATGCTACCTCTTTACCTACTTGCTAATATGTAGTGGAAGTAGGTACCTATATTTTACTAGTAAAAATGTTATACCGCAGTGTTGTTAGACAAATTATATTTACATATTACTTAGGTATATTAGAAAAAAATAAAAGTTTATTACCTTTTTAGATTGAAATTGTATACATTACACGTTTACACAAACTTTATGTTAGAAACCATGAACATAATTATTTATAACATAAAACACAAACAGCCAACACAAAACACTGATTAGAAACAGAATTTTTAAGTATGAAATAAATACATACCTAATGACTTGTAAATAATTATTTCTGATGTACTTCCCTCTTGCATTGAGTCATCTGGGTCATTTATATTTGTACAAGAAGTAGTTTCATTATCATAATGACAAATTGGTTTGTCTGGAATACAAGTAATTTATTAAAATAGATCTATAGGCTATCATTTGTACTTTTACATTGGCATGTATATCAATCTAAAGTGAATAACAATTGTTCCGTAAGCAAACAACAAATTTAACACTTAATTATTGATAAAAATACAAGACTGTTATATAATTAATGATTAATGAATGGTTGTATCTTGTATACCTAATTGAATGAGGAAATCGCATTTAAATAAAATATATAACAGTTGATTGTAAACTAAAATCTTAATATCATATATCAAAGAAATAAATGGTAAATCTATACCTAAGCAAATAGTCAAATAAAACTTTGAGTTTCTACTTACTTTCTTCACATTTTTTAGTAATAGCTTTTGGTTTGAAAAATTCAAACAATGTATTCTGCTTGTTTTGAGCCATTTAGTAGAAACGAATACAAATACAATTTTAATACAAAAAAAGTAAAATAGATTCGTCAAGCATAAATAAGCAAACATAAAAGTATAAAACTAAAATTAAGTATACAAATTTGTCCAATCAATGTTCAGTCGATACTCGATGGCATAGACAAAAAATCAAAACTCAATAGTCACCAAACGCCAATAATCAATATTAATATTTTCATTTGCGCTTATCGGCTATCGACATAATCTGTATATTCTGTTTTATAATTGTAACCACGGATATTGATAACAACATTGGAACAAATATTTTTTGGAACAAATGTTTTGTGGAACAAAAGGTAGCGACCCATTATAAAGAACTCTTTAAAATCATGGTTTATAACATATAACTTGTCAGTCGGTATCATTGGTAACTATAATTCTGAACTGATAATTTTTCCCATATCACAGATTCGTGGTAAATTGTTATCGTATTTATAATTTATATCAGTCACAAACTCTCGAACACGATTACGCAAGTGGTAAGTAATATTTATTTGCAAAAAAGTTCGGCCCGCAGGGGGGGGGGGCAGTTGCCCACCCTGCCCCCCCCCATTGCGCACGCCTATGAACTCGTTTGTAAATGCAAACTTTATCCTCCGTGGAGACTTTAATCTACCTAACATTTATTGGTCCAATGACAGTCATGGTCTAGTATATTCTAAAATTTCTCCTCCAGGTCCCTTTGTTGAATGTGTCCCTGAAACCTTTGCATTTCTAAATTTTTTTCAGGTCAACAATGTTTTTAATACTCATGGTTCTTTGTTAGATTTAATTTTTGTTAATAGTAATCATATACAAATTAATTCTGTTTCTGATCCATTGGTTCCAGAAGATAAATATCACCCATCACTGTCTATTGACATTATTTTAACTTCTAATCTACCTTCATATAATACATCTAAATCATTTTATAATTTTCACAAAGCTGATTACTCACGTATCAAAGAATTTTTAAGCTCTTTTAATTGGAGTGAAACTTTTCTTAATCTTGATGCTAACTTAGCTATGTCTACTTTTTATGATGCTTTACATTTTTCTATTCTGAAATGGGTTCCTCATGTTAATTACACTAAGTCTAATTTTCCTTCTTGGTTTTCCAAGGACCTAATTGATTTAGTTTTCTTAAAGAGAAGAGCCCATGCAATCTTTAAGTCTTCTCGTAACCCTCTCAACTATCGTGAATTTTCTTTGCTCCGTGCTAAGTATAAACTAATGTCAAAAAACTGTTATAAAAAGTTTATTGAACGTACTGAATCACAACTCTGTGCTAATCCCAAAGTATTTTGGAAATTTATAAAGAAAAATAAATCAAGCAATGACATACCTAAAACAGTTCATTTTAATGATATAACTAGCTCTAATGATAAAGAAGTTTCAGATTTGTTCGCTAAGCAGTTTGTTCTGTTTACACTGAACACAGTGTTAATCATAATTCAACTATCCCACATTTATTCTATGATTTACCTAGAAATTGCTTTTTTGAATTATCTTTGATTGAGTCAGGTTTATCTAAATTGAGTGGTGACAAGTCAATTGGTCCTGATGGACTTTCTGGTGAATTTTCGTATATGTTAAAATCAGTATTATCCTACCCATTGTCACTTTTGTTTCGTAAATCCTTAGATGAAGGAATATATCCTGATATTTTAAAACTTAGCACTGTAAAACCTATTTATAAATCGGGTGATAAGTCGAATGTTGCCAACTATCGTCCAATCTCATTATTAGGACATATAGCTAAATTATTTGACTCTTTAGTCTTAAACTCAATTAGTCCTGCTGTTAATTCAATCCTAATCGATGAACAACACGGTTTCCGTCCTGGCCGGTCAACTAACACTTGTAACATTGTGTTTTCTAGTTATGTATTTGATGCATTTAACAATCGTTCACAGGTTGATGTTATATATATGGATTTTTCCAAAGCTTTTGATCGAGTTGATCATACATTACTAATTGAGGTTTTGCTTAATTCTAGGTTTGGTGAACCATTGTTGTCTTGGTTTCAGTCGTATCTTCGAGATCGTAAGCAAATTGTTGATGTTCATGGTAGTAAGTCTGTTATAATTGATGCAACTTCTGGTGTTCCTCAAGGAGGAATTAATTCAAGGAGTCTTTAACTGCATAATGGATTTCCAATCATGTAAGAATATTTTATATTATATATTATATTATATTATGGTATGGTATGATACATTTTTTTTATTCAGTCAATGAAATATTACATATCGTTTTAAAAAAATCGTTGGAAGAGAAATTAGAAGCAACATGTGTTGTAAATTGCACTATATTGAACCTGTGCAAGCAATGCAGGATAAAAAAGGGTAACTTTTGCAACAATTATCATTTAGTTAATAGTGGTTTGAAATTATAAGGCGTAAATTTGGTAAATATGATATAATGTAGATATAATGTAGATGATATTGCAACATATTCAGGGTTTGAATTCGAAGTGTTATTACGCAAGCTGTACGAGAAAGTGTACAGGATTATTTGCGATAATGGGCATGATTTCTGGAAGAAGAAAATTACTATAAAAAGCATAATGCATAACAAGGTGACTAATTGGAATAATTTAATTTATATGATATTAGAATTAAAATGTGAAGAAAATAATATTAATATTACAATAAATAAGTATGATTTACCTATAAAAACAAATAAAATTGTCGACAAAAATGTATTTTTAGATTCCTTAGGTATACATTACGATTATGACAAATTAACTATTCTAGAAAATCATCGCAATATCAATTTTGGATCAAGTACAGCTGAAATTTGGTAGAATATTTTCCATCCATTTCTAATAATTGTTAAAACTAATATTATTGCATCTCATCATCTTGTTTATTTATTATACATTTTTAGAAAAACAACATTCAGTAGGAATATATATAAATTTACCCCCGCTAACTGTGACACACACATTCATGCGTACAACGTACAGCTACTCTCACGACCCGCAACATATATTTTACCCACACACGGTACACCACAGTCTATTATTAGTTTGTTAAATATATACGTTTCTTATTTACCATTTTGTGTAAACCTACAAGATTTGCTTTTTTTTTCTTCAACTGTAAAGATCATCATCGATAATAACGTGAGTATTTTACATTTTTCATAAATTATTTAAGAATTACATATAAATCAAATTTTTAGATGTCAAATAATTCATCAGCTAGTACATCGATGTATGGAGGAGATGAGTATCATAGACGCTTGGCCGGATCACCTTTGGGAGATAGTCCAAATTCGGATCTTCAGTCTCCAGTTTTCCTTCAACTCAACGTACATAATTTTATCGGATATGATGAGATGGTGAGTTTATAATTTTAAAAATAAAATAAAATTTGTATTATTATTATTATTATTTAGGCTCAATCTGGTGATAGTGGGTATTCAAGCAAACAGGACACGCAAGTGGAAAATCAAGTTTGGTATAGAGTATTTTCATCACCTTCACCACGACTTTCACAGATGGAGAATTGGGCACGATCTTTGTCTCCTGTTTTTCTGGAAGAAGCTTCACCCGATATGTTCCAGTCACCAACACCGAGAGCATGCTCACTGAGGGTGAGAAACGACCTTTTTCCGGCCATCGATTCTCAATCAACAGTTTCGCCTATCATGTTAGACCTTTCTACTCGACATTCTGGAGAGCAGCCGTCGGAAATGGATTGGAGTGATTACGGAAATGAAGTAGAGTTGAACCGTCATATGGATGCATATGAAGATGATGAAGAGCTTAACCGTCATATGGATACGTATGAATGTTGTGTAACGATTTACAGATTACTGACGCGTCATTTATGTCGCGCTTGATGAATTTGCTTAGGTAGACAGAACACAGGAACGTAGAGTACGATAATATAAATCACTGGCATAGCCACCCAGTCGAGTTCGAATCGTGAAATAGAGACAACAGTCATCTCTACATTTTTAAGTTACATAATTAATTTGATTTACTATAG